ATGACATGACATACATATATAGTCTAGCGTAACATTTCAGATCGTTCTACGCATGACGTATCATCGTATCATCGTATCATCAATGATAGCATAACACAACATCATAATAACCAACCAACCCACTTCCCCATATAAAGCTTCAGCTTAGAATGATATACCTACCTACCTACCTACCTACACACATAGTACACGCAGTTAATTTTATCAGAGAGTCGGATACTACTTAGGATCTTGTAATATGTTATGCTATGGTCCAGCTATGTACATCTGGATCTGGATCTGGATCTGAACCCACGATCAAAGTATGTGGTTAGGTACCTATTCAGAGATAAAATATTACTTGGAAATAGATATTCTATCTATGAACTCTACAGAGAAGAGAAGAGAAAATTTAGCATAGCAGAGCTGAGATGAGCCGAGTACCGTATGTAGCGCAGTAATCTGTTGATTGTCAACATCATACATACATACATATATACATACATACAAAAAAAAGGACCTCTTTGGATCGATGTCATCTTTGGATTGCTGCCGTTCCACGAGTGGCTCATTTTCAAGGCGATCTAAATCGAGTAATATCCAGGTCAAGCGGGATTATATAGAATGGGAGTCACTAGATGAGATGGAGACGATTCAGTTCCTACTCGGATATAGAATATAGATCAATTTGCTCGGGTAGATATGATGATATTCTTGGTATGAGTTAAGGGCTACATGTGTAATTGAGGAATGGGTGAATGAACGGATGAACGAACGGATGAACGAACAGTGCGGTATGCCGTAGTATTTTGGCGGCTGGCTGGCATTTGGGAGAAGTGGATAGGGTGTTCTCTCTCTCCCTCTCTCCCTAGCTATTTTTTGTTAGTATAGTTCGTTGTATAGTTTAGAGGGAGTAGATGGGCAGTGGAATAGACGAGTCAAGTAACAAAACGTAACGAACGCAGAGATTGTGTGCTAAAATTTGGGGGTATTGAAATATGAGTATCATTATTGCGTTATATTCTCATGCAATTCTTTCTTTCCCATGCATCTACTATCCAATCCAACCCCCTCGCCCCTCCTTATAATGCACACGCTCTTCGCACCTCCAACCCCCCCGTCATCGAAAATAAACCACCATTTCCCCCGCCAGCCTCACTCCCACCGCACTAACCAACTCTGCAATAATCCCCTTTAGACTATCCACATCCCCTACACTATCGCTCTCCCAACTCACCAGCTCATTCGTCTCGTGCACGCTTTGGCCGATGCGGATTTTAACATGATCGAGTGGGGATTTTGTTAGAATGTCTGATTTAGAAAGGAGACCCGGCATCGATGTTTCAAAGATGGGTTTACTATCTGCCCTGTAGAGAGCCGATGAATCTTCATCCGGTGTGTTGTTTGAGTCCGAGTTTTGTGTTGAAGATTCTGAGGATTCAGAAGCTGTTTGAGTCTCACTGACATATTTCCTCTCGTCAAATTTCTCCCTCAGATGTTCATCAAAGAGTATCCAATTGTAAGTTTCCGGATCTAAAATATATTGAGGACTATAATCCCCTTTATATCTCATTTTCACACAAGTGTGAATGTAAAACCCTGCATACCAATATTGATATCCCTCTTCTTTTGCTAGTGCAATTTCTCGCATTGCGCCTAATTTTCCAAAGCCGTGAGAATGTACCGATTCATGATACATGAAGTAGACTGCGCTGACGCATTTAGGGAGGAGATCCAGGACTCCTACGGCGATCAACTTTCCATCGAGGCGGTAACATTGGTGGTAAGAACCTAGATGTTTGGTTTTGCCGTCAATGATTGTGGTGCTTCGTGGTAAAGGGGAAGAACAGAGAAAATTTTGGAATCCTCCTTTACTTATCCTATCAGGAGGTTCATGATGAACAATTCGTTGATAATCTTTAAAAATACCGTATTTTTCCTCTGTAAACTCATCTGTTTCCAATGTAACAGTAAAAGCATGTGCTGGTTCTGGTGGTGTCTTGAGCTTTTGCGTTTCTCCTTCGTGAATTCTTTCCTCGAGATCAAAGTCCGTGTTACGTTTCTTAGCTTGCTCGCGTGATTTGGGATGTATTCTTGCTGCTTCTTTCGTATATACATCTCCGAGGACATATTTGTTGAAACGATTCACGACTTGCCGTTGATCTTTTGTCGCGCGAAATTGGTGAGAATCTAGACGGATGGTATATTGTGGACAACATGATTTTCGAAGATCGGGCTTATAGAGAAGAGTACCTGAACGTCTCCATCCTCGATCGAGAAGTCCTTGGTAGAATTCTGGTTGGAGTGTTTTGGTTCTGGCGTAGTACGAATAACCTAAAAGTAAAAACAAATAAATGAGTGAGCTCTGCACGTTGCGAAAGCTTGAAGGAAGCCTTTCAGCAACTCATTTAGATATTCAACAATATTGACTATGTGAAAGGAAGTAATTTCCTCATCAAAAGAAGCACGTGCGATAGAGACATATGGCCAGATATTGCCAAGAATACATATGTATACATAGGTAATGAGAATATGTAGCCTACTGCCTGAATCATTGTGACAATACCCACAACTATTGTTACTGTAGCCTAGAAATCGCATGAATCAAGTCAGCAAATTGACAACAATTTTATCATATTGATTTCTTCTGAAAGATACTGAAATCTGCAGTGTCATCTGCGCTTCGTGCTACAATACGAATCCGGTGATGATAATTCAGGATTTCAATGTGAGACCGGGGAAGAGGAATTGTATGATTCCTTTGCAGTGATCGTGATGATCGCGGAATCGTAACACTTGTACGACGATAAGTTTTGAATTTCTGGTTCAGCCGTGTTTCTGGGAACTGAATGAACAAGATGAACAAGATGAACAAGATGAACAAGATGAAGTGGGGTTGTTGTTAAACCACATGAAAGGAGGTTGTGATTGTGACCAATAACTACCAAGATATCTCATCAAAATCCCCGTGATATTTTTGGAATGTATACAATGTAGTACTACTACGCAGCATGCAGTGAGTGAGACAAATGCCAAAGAAGAAGATGGCATTGGAAGGAAATCTGTCAAGGAAGAAAAGATGATGATGAGAATCCAAAATGAATTAACATCGAGCCATTTGCCCACGGGGTCAATTTATTGGCCAACGATGGATACCAGAATGCAAAATGGGGGTTCTTTCTAATTTTCTGGTTCTCCAATAACGAACGTTAGAACTTACCAAGGGGCGAAAGAAGCGAGACTGGGGTTTGCATGACGTGGAAACAGCCCAAGGTGACAAGGCCGATATTGGCTGTGAGATGATGATGATGATGATAATAATAATGATGTTGCTGTTGTTGTTCTTGTTGTATGGATACGGACGGGGAGATAATTCGCCGGATTGAAGTGGGAGTGAGAGTAGATGAGAGTGGGAGGGAGTGACAGTGGGAGACAGAGTGAGGGTACCTAGTAGGTAGTAGAATCAGGAGGAGGGTAAACAGTAAAGAGTGGGAGTTAATAGTTGGGTTTGTGTTGTCCACCCCGCGCTCAAGAAAAGATCATGAGAGCTTGAGACTAGAATGGATTCTGATTTGGTAAGTTAACTATTCCAATAAGTTCCTATCCATATCAATGATCAAAGCATGAAAAGATGGATTTTTGGAGTTGGCGGGGGAATTCCATACATTGTTTGATACTCAGATCTTGTATGTAGGACCTCGAGCATGTGGTTCTGCACTCTGTTCTGCACTCTGTTCTGCACTCTCCGTTGAACGAACCAATGATGAGTGAGGACTGGTGAATTTGATGTGCTAACTTTGTTTTGCACGGAAAAACAGGTCCGATGCCGATGGCGATGCTGATGCTGGTGCTGGTGCTGGTGCTGGTGCTGGTGCTGGTGCTGGTGCCGGTGCCGGTATGTATGTATTTAATGTACTGTACAGTATTGGTTGCGGCTTTTGCGGCTCGATCGGGCTAGGTGTTGCTTATTCCATGGGTTTGTAGGTAACCTTGGAATTTGATGTGATTTGATGTAAGTGATTGGTTGATTGAATTATTGCAGATGAAGATGAGTGAGTACGTTGTATGATATTCTCTCAGTGCTTTCTTTACTGTCCGTACCTACTCGAAACCATCATCGTATGCGCATGGACAAACAGGGTAGAATTTACCCACCTAGGTATCGGTATCTATAAGAATACCTAGGTAGTATCTGGCGTAAAATTAACAAGGTGCGTATTTCCTAGCGATAATCTCTTTTACCCCTAATGGTTGTTGCAGTGATTCTTTTGATGGGTATTTATATTGAAACGCCACTCATCATTTACAGCTTCTACTCTGTAGTCTAGATCGTGCTACCCATTCACACCTACTCGAAATATATCAAGGATGATTCATCATTGTAAAGTTCACATATTATATTCATAGTCATACTTCTTGCTGTAATTCTTGCTTTTATTCTGAACAACGATCAACCAATTACCTAGGTAGGTAGAGATGAACAATTCTCCTTTTAGGTGTTGATCTATTTTAGCCATAGTTATACATATACATATATAGGTGTATATATACACATACACACACACACACACACATATATACATATAATAATAAAAATCTACAAATATGACTCCGTTACCGACATTAGGAAAAAAGGCACGAGACACGGAACTATCTAGGTATCTTGTATCTTGTAATATCATACCTATCCTAAAGATATATCCCAAGCAAGCTAGAGGCTAGTCCTTCTTTTCTCCCTCTCTCCCTCCCTCTCTCTCTGACGGTTTGACGGTTTGACCTCTCCTTCTCCGTTTACTCCGAACCTTTTCTTTCATAGAAAGTTGGAAATATTTTAAAATTAATTAGGTTAGTGAGAAAAAAACGAGTGGATGTTTTATTGTTGTAGCAAAGCCTTGCCGTAACTCGAACTGTACTTACTCTACTTTCCTGGGCTTTGCTTTGATTTGAGTAGTAGTAGTAGTAGTAGTAGTAGTAGTAGTAGTAGTAGTAGTAGTAGTAACCCCTTCACATCACCTCACCTCACCTCACTTGACTTCATCACCTCACCTGCACTTTCAAGATCAGTCAGTCAGTACTTTCCAATTGGAATTCAGTCAGTCATTATTTAAAATTCTTCAAAGAAGACTGACTCTATTCTACATACATACACACACATACACACACACATCCTGTACACATACATACACACGGTACACACTCATAAACTTATAACCCCTTTCTCTTTCTCCTTCTCTTTCTCCTTCTCCTCCCTCTTCATCCTCGTCCTCTTCTTCTTCTTCTTCTTCTTCTTCAAAATTCAGATTGCCTGATACATTTTCAACACATAATGACAATCAATTAATTTTCCAATTCATTAAACATTGTCCTTAAATTCTTACAATATCCAAACCAATTTCCGATTTGATATTGAAATCTCCCTCCCAGCCTACTACAAGATAACATGCACGATTGCGCTTCTTGATACTTTTTTAAGAAAAAAAAAAGTTACAGTAGCCTACTCAACTCGCTCCTGCAGCCGAACTTTATCTCAACGAACTTTTAATTCTTTGATTTACAACAACGAATTGTGCTTCCTGCACTGTGCATCAGCACCCTACAGGTGAAGCATCACCTTCACCATGGCATCAGGCCTTCCTATGGAATCTCGTATTGGGAGAAATAACCAACGTACGTTTTGCAATTCCTCTATGACATTTGGCGCATTCATACCTTTTACCTCTTACCTTTGACATTCTTCCTACTTCCAAATCCGGAATGTTCATAGGCTTACATCCTCCTTTGGGAATACAGGTTATGGCCCAGAAGGAGAAAGACTCGTTGCGGGTGTGGTCCCTTTGAACGCAGCAAAAACTCACGTCCTCCTTATACAATCTACACGTCGGAACGCATGGGTTTTACCTAAAGGTGGATGGGAGACTGATGAAGAATGCATTCAAGCAGCACAACGTGAAGCATGGGAGGAGGCAGGAATAGTTTGTACCGTCGATTATGATTTGGGTCAAATCACCGAAACCAGAACTGCCAAACAAATCTCGAAAAATGCACCCAAAGCACTTTACCAATTCTTCCAAGTCACCGTTACAAGCGAAGAGACAGAATGGCCAGAGAGGCACAAGAGGAATCGAAAGTGGGCGACATATTCAGAGGCAAAACATGATCTTCAAGAGCGTCCAGAATTATTACAGGCTCTTGAACGTTGTACCATTCAACGGTAGCCTTGGGGGCCCGGTGTTTATTCTCCAACAATTCGCTGTAGTAGGACGGCCGAAGAGACAACGATACACAGTACACAGTACACGACGATACACGACGATATGCCTTTCCATCCGATCGAGTTGGGATTGAGCAATAATAAGTTTTTGAGATCGGCCGTACTGTATACCCACCAGCTGCAGTGTTAATTCAACGAGTTATGGATACCGGGTTCCGTTGAAAAAAAAAAAATAAGTAAAAAAGATATTTTGAGGATTTTATTTTTGGGTTGGTTGGTTGGTTTTCTTCAAGAAAATTGCTGCTTTACTCTTCTTTTTTCGTCTGCACTAGATGGCAAAATAAAGTCGGATCTAATGCAGTGTGTTCTCATCACTCACATGTCGTTCTATGGTCTTTTTCTTTCTTTCTATTGAACATCATATATTTACCTACTTTGAGGTTTTTCGACACCTTCATTGTTACATATCTCCCCAAAAGCGCCATGACATATCACATTTTGAGATCTTCACTGAAGTACTTGAGTACTAACTTGTACTATTCTTGCTATATCTAATGAAGTGGACAGTGTTTGTACTAACAGTCCATGGAAAATTCTATTAACATTGGAGGAAAAAAGGAGAAAGGAGGAAGGATTGATTCGATATCGAATAATATATATAGAGAAATAAAGAGCAATATCATTCATTACCAACCTTGACTTAACACTTGAGGAGTAATAGCATCTTGAATACGGAATCTCAAGGAGCGAGTACTTACTTCATTATCATCAAAAAATTAGGGAGAGATCATCAGTATAAAGATCCAAGACGGGACACAAAGATATACAATGGTCAGGATTTTCTGGTATCTTCAAAAGCAACGTCCTTCATAGCATTTCTTCTCTGCCCTCTCCAAAATGACTCTGATAGGGAAGGAGCATAGACGGGAAGGTAGGTATCAGTATCATATTTCATTCAAGTAGGCTTGGGGGCTTTCACTTTGTAAAATCAAATAGGAATAATAGAGAGACACCACAACATTCAAAACAAGCCCATTGTTCAATACATCCTGATATCATAACATAAAAACCAAATCCATTTTTCCAAGACGCCTTTTCTTTACCCCAACTTTAACAGTGCGCATCTATCAACCGATTGGTCACTCTCTATCACCACAACCATTGAATCTTCTACTACTACTCCATCCAACCAAACTATTCATCTCGTCCACGAACCTCGACTTTTGGAGATTTTTATCGTCAACTCGCGGAATGGATTGGTTGAAACTCTCACTATCACGATAATCGATTTTTTTACCTTTAAGATACCGACTATATGGATCACCAACCGACATATCAAGGCCCAGAAGGAGGGGCTGAGATGCCAGCTCTAGGAGCTGGTATAATACCTCCTCCGCCGAATCAGCAACTCCCAGCGCAAATGTTTACGACTGCTGCGCAATTGCTTGACTTGACTGATAGTAAGGTTCCCCGATCTGCGAAGCTATGCTGAAAATACTGGTTGTGTTTATGGCTACTTGCATGGAGTCTATTAGTGGTAGATCTATGGCTTGAGAACATGCACACACAGCTCTTTGATGATGAACACATACATGTACTAATCATGATATTTCTACTCTACAGAAAAGCTTATGATCTCCCTCCGTGATGGCAGAAAACTTATTGGAATACTCCGAAGTTGGGACCAGTTCGGTATACACTCATTTCCTATTTTCTAGCCCCATCACATCATATCACATCACATCACTCACTAAATATTTCACTACAGCAAACATCGTCCTCCAATCTACCGTCGAGCGGATATTCATTGCGCCTCCCCCTCCCTCCTCACCTCAAGGTGCAACGCAGCCTGGACTCTACGCCGATATACCCCGCGGACTGTTTCTCGTGCGCGGCGAGAATGTGTTGTTGCTGGGCGAAATTGATCTGGATAAAGATGATGAGGCGCCGCCAGGATATGAGAAAGCTGACGCGGAGGTGGTGCATAAATTGGATAAGGAGAGGAGGGCGATGGAGGCGAAGAGGGATAAAAATCGTTTGAGGAAGTTGGCGGAGTTGGGATTTGAGGGGGAGAATTCGGGAGAGGCTATCTTTGGATGAGGTGGGTGAGGAGGAGAGAAGGTAGGAAATGGGTGGATTGGAGAGGGGGGGGGGGGGGGGTGTGAGGGAGGTGATGGGGGATTGAGTTCGAGATGGAATGGGACAGTAGATCAGAGATGTGGTTACAAAAAACTCAAGGCCGAATATTGTGAAAGGCTAGCTGGCGATTTCTATCAGTCAGTTGTGGTAGATCTATGACAGATTAAACCACAGGAAACATAATTTTTCCTTCTTCTCTCCTAATTGTTTGGACCCTTTTTACGGTTTACTTTTGTGAGTATAGCGTTTTTGGAGAAACTAACGAAAGACCTTACACATGAATCACGACGCGTTAGAGAGCAAGGATCTCTTCATCCTAAAAAATGAACTTAAAATTTTTGGCTTTGGACTTTTGGGAGATCTTAAATGCAAATGTCGAATGGAGGATGGGGAGAAGAAGAGTGGATGATCGAGGATAGAGAATATCACTAAATCGAAGTCGAAATCGAAATAGGAATAGCTGTATCGGGTGAAATCTTCCGTTTAATGCATAGAGAGTAGAAACTCAATATCCAAAATCGAAGGAAATGGTTAAAGGATGGAGAGATAGGTAGATTGGCAGGTAGATGTGAATGAATGGGCGTGTGTGGGTGGATCTATGTATGTCCGAAATTCATGATTATGCTCATTCTATACTTTAAAGATTGAATTTGTGTAATTAAAATCGTGATATGTATTAGAGAGTAGAGAATCTAGATTGGTTGGTGATTAGTAGGTATGTAAGCTGTGGTATACTTGAGTATACGAGAATTAGTTAGCTACATAGGCTTCTTGCATACAGTAATTCTTATTGAGAAATTAACCAAGTATCTGTAGATTGATCAATGTCTTCCAAGGTTTGTTGAAATATGAAAAAAGTGTTAAGGTTAGTTCGGACAATCAAGTGGATAGAGAATTCTACAATATATTCTCCGTCCCCATAAGGCGTAAGGCGTTGGGGAAAAGGAAGAATATCGGGACACTAGAAGATTTCACATGCTTCTCTTTGAAATAACGCTTGTTTACGATGGAGAATGCATACATTGCATCGCGAATATTTTACTCGAGTTCGGACAGTCCGGTGGGAAAGTTCGTGGGACATGCTGGACTCACTTGACACAAGACTATCTAGATTGGATCGATTGGAAACACGTGCTAATGGACCATTATTCATGAGAACTGTTTCGCGAACGCGTCATGAAATTCGCGGGATGCTTGGGATGGATTCTCCTATTTTTTCTAAATCGCTTAAGGTTACGGATCACGAGATGGAGTGGGAGGGACGGGAGTGGGTTTTATCTAGGTAGGTATCGGTCCATCAATCAAATGACATTCTTCCTTTCACACGCTTGTAACACATGAGTTAGACGATATTTGGAATTTGGAAAAACTCTCAACGTTTTTATTCTTTTTTTTTTTTTTTGCTTTCCTTTCTAGATTCCTTCTAGACTGTTTTACCATGTCCACCGAGCGCAAATCTTGAGATGAAATTTGTAAATCATGCGCAGGCTGCGCGGGGACAGGGATCCGCACGCTTGGGCTTTCATGCACAATAACCGTTTGAGTAATGGATTGGGGGAGAGGGAGGATGGGCATGATGGATGAGAGGGGGAGAGCGAGCAAGTTCCTAGTTGTGTGCGTGTCACTTGGGACGGTTTGGGAAGGAGGATGGATTCTCGAGGGAAGTTTGTGGGTGGAGGTTTGCATGGTGAGGAAGAGCATGAGGAGGTAATTTCAAAGGGATATGAAGTACTATTGATTTTGGAGGAAAGCTTTGAAAGTTTGACGCCCTTGGTTTGGAGATGAAATGAGGGACGTTGGGATGGGAGGGGTGGGTGCGATGGAGTGTGGTGGATGGAGCGATGACGAAATTGGCTCTTGGGAGTTCTTATGAAGGGAGATGTTCGCACCTCTTTTTTCTATTTCTTTTTCTTCGAAGAGTTGTCTTTAGTCACTGTCATTAAGAAGATTGTCTTTTCGAGACCCAGATACCCAGATTCTATTCACTTCTTCGGACTACGACATCATCTCGAGTCTGTCTTTATTACTTTTACAATCTTCGACCAGAAACAGACGCGCACACTTCATATCTCCCATCCTCATAATCACATAATCCCACATACTACACTACACCCGCAGCATTCACGCTCCGGGCCCTCAGAAATCTTTCAAAATCTTTCACTCACACCCCCGTCAAAGACCGCACATCACCTGTCGTCTTCTCTCCATTCGTCCCCGCAGTTCTCGCTCTCGAACAAATTCAAACATGTCTTCTGCTCCTACCACCACTGGACCGATCCCGGCTCCCACAAATACGGTGAATCCTCTCCCCGCTACACCTGCTGAGGCTGCCGCTAGAGCCGCCCCCGCCGCTGCGGGAACAGCATTGGATTTGCACGCGCAGACTGAAGATGCGGCAAAGGAATACAAGAATGCGCAGAAGGCTGAGAAGGCTTACGCCCAGAAGAAGAAGTGCATGACTGCGAGAAAGGATTGGTATGACTGTAAAGTACACTTTGCAGCTGGAGTGCAGGGGTTCAGAGAGGGAGGAAAATGTGTTGGACGGGTTGTCAAGGCCGGACCGGCTTTGGCGATGGAGAAGGTCAAGGGGGGAAAGGGTCAAGGGGTTAAGACGGTGGATAGTGGTGCTTCGGGAGAGAGTATCATGGTGGAGAAGGAAAATGCTAATAAGAAGAGTGGTAATGGTGGTGTGAAAGCAAAGGTGATGGGGCTGAAAGAGAAACTTTTGGCAATGAAGGAGAAAAGGGCGATGGAGAAACAGGCAAAGACTGATGAGAAAGCCGCCATCGCTACTCCCACTGCAAGCGGAGCTGTAGTAGAAACACCAGCAGTAGAAGCTACTCCTGTCGCTCCTGTCGCCCCCATTGCTCCTGTTGCTCCTGTTGCAGCAACCCCAGTCCCAAGTCCAACACAGACCAAGCAGGAAAAAAAGAGAATGACTCTGGATCAGGTGAGACATCGAATTCTTTCCTACCGTCACTCGCGTTTTTGTTCCACGTCATCGGAAGATGATGACGAAGAGGTGAATGTCGCGCCTCGAATTGCAGGTTGGATGACCTATTTTCTACCCTTTCACTTACTCCTCTTCTCCTTATCTTTACCCTCTCACACATTCGAGTTTGCTTTGAGGGTCTTAGATTCCGAGATTGATGGATAGACATTCTGTACGATTTCTAAACAAAGAAGAATAACATACTGATTGATGACAATAGAGAATCCAACAAGAAGAAGCCAAAGCGCTCGCGCGTCAGGAAGCGGAAGCCTCCGCGGCAAACGCTACAGCGGCGACAGGAGAAACCCCAATCGTGGCTCCCATCCAAGCTCCGGTGCAACCTCAAGGGCTAACTCCAATTCAAACCACGCAAGCATCAACATCGTTGGCGAACCCCCCGCAATTGCCTCCCAAGACACAGTTGAGCCCCCCCGGATCCCCCACGAAGGGGACCATGGAGCCGATTCACGAGGACGGGGAGACGGGGCCCCTACCATTGGCGAGCGGGATCCAGGGGCCGGTAGAAACGCAGACTCCTGGGGTAGTTGGGGGAGGAGCACCGGCCGGACAATAAGCGAAGGGGGCGATGGGGGCGGCGAGGGGTTGAAAGCCAGAGTGGCGGTGATGGTGCGGGGGAGATTGAGAGGGGGTGATGCGCGCGCGCCTGCTTTTCCATGGTTTGCGGCGCACTATGCGGATGAGAATGAGGATTCCAGCGAGGAGGAAAAGAAAAAGGAGAAGAAAGTGCATGCGCGAATGGGAATGGGAATGGGAATGAAAATGAAAATGAAAATGAAAACGAACACGAAAACAGGGACGGCAACAGCAACAGCAACAGAAGCCAAAGAATCAACGCGAGCACGAATTATGGGACATTTTTCCAGGACGAAAAACGCGGATGCAGGAATGAATTATAACGAGAAGAGGTTTCGCCGACCGGGAAAGGTGGCGACGTTGCGCTTGCGATGGATCTTGTTTGTGTCGAAAGTGAGGGATCGGGCCAGTGATGCGTTGGGATGGGTTGGGGTGTTGATTATGGATTTTTTGGGGAGGGTGAGTGTGGTGGGAGAGGAAATTGCGAAGAAGATGGGTGGGAAGAAGGAGAAGAAGGTTCGGTTTTCGAGGAGAGCATTTTTCTAGGGGGTGTGAGTGGATGGGGTGGAGGTCATGTGTCATGAGTTTTTTTGATGGTTTGATGGTTTGATGTTTTCATGATTTTTATGTTTATGTTTATGTTTATGTTGACGAGTTTCTATTGTTTTACTTTACTTTACTTTTTCTTCTCTGGATTTTCACGAGTTCTCTTCTTCGTCATTCATGTTAATGTCTCGATTACGAGTATGGGTACGAGTATGGAATTTTGCTTAGTTTTTCGTTTTGGTTTTGGTTTTTGGTTTTGATTATTTATCCTTCTTTCTTTTTGATATCCATTATTTTGCTTATAAGTCGTAGTTTTAAGTCTTCTTCTTCGAAAGGGTAATTTGGGGTAACTTGAATCAGTATAGATAGAATTACAGTATAGTTTGTATTTTGATACCATTGCTTTTCTTCTTGATTGTGATTGTGATTGTAATTGTAATTACAGATCGATAGCTTTCCGTGGGGAAGAATTGTTTTCATACAGCAGGTAACTTTGTATGCGAGTATGAGGATTTGATTTGCTATGAGAGGGGAGCACGATGTTTCATCCGATGAATTTGCGTTGATACGGTAAACTTCTCCCTCCTCATCTCACACTCACACACCAAAACAACTGCCATCCACCCCTTCCACAACAGCAACCAGCTAATTCCCAAGTCTCCTTCGAGCCAAGCAGTATGAAAGACATAATGAATGAAAATTGTAATCCAACCCAGTAGCACAGCACAGTGAAACAACAAGAACCAAGAAACTCAAGACCACAGATCAATTTCCTCGCTTCTCTCCTCCAACTTTCGCATCAAAGATCGATATCTCCCGCCGGTCTCGCAATGTTTGCCCGCCAGTGATGAACATTCACCGGATCCTTCTGATACAGGTTCATCTCGAAAAATTTATTATGAGAGGTGCATTTGAAGTTCTTATATCTATTCAATCATCAGTTTGTAATCCATCATTTCGCATATTATATCATGCATTCATTGTCATAAACATTAAAATTCCAAAACAGGAAACAGTCAAGTGCTTACGAATTCAATTTCTGATAATTGGCTTGGATCAGATGTTGTTCGGTAATCTCGATAAAGTCTCCTGAGGAAGTTTCATCGGGAATGAAGTAGCGTTTGGATTCAAGAGGACCGTAGTTGACTTGTCGAACAAATTGAATGGCGTATGGGGTGGTAGGAGTGATAGGGTTTGAGCCAGCTCCTGAGTCATCAGGAGTTGTGACGGAGGAGGAGCGAGGATAGTCGGCCCAGGCTTTGAAGCTGGTGAATTTTTGCTGGTGGGTGAGTTGCTGAGGACGAAAGGACCCGGGGGAATCACAGCAGAAGAGAGTGGTCATGATGTAGGTTAAAAAGTGTAAGGGAAAAGAATAGTTTGACTTGAAATGGAAGATAGATGTTTTGGCTTGTAGGTCAATATCACTTATTGGAGTAGTAGAAGACAATTGAAGAGCACCTGAAAATAAATTCGAGGAATTGGATAGTGATATATATGCAATGAGAACTGGAAATACTCGAGACTCGGATTTTCAAAATCAAGAAAGATGTGGGTGATTACCCACCACAGATGTCCAATAAACCGGGCATATTGGATTTGAAAAAGCCAAGCCTTGAACATCTGAGCCCGATTCACACAAGTGAGAAGCCGCTCCTTTCCTTGCCAGCAAATTTGCGAAGACCCCGCCTTCATGGCATGCAACATTGTCGAGTAATCAAGTTTTTGGGTTTCACTGCAGATTTTCATGATAGAATCTAAGCTTTTTTGCATATCAGACCCTCTGTCGTCCTCAGTAAAAAGACAATTCATTAGTAGACTCATGAAAATGAGGCCTACAACGAAGGCAACTTGCGTTTGGACTGAGTACATAGCATAGAAAATGTATGCAGCCTCCCAATACTATTTCCACGGCGTCATGATAGCAAATACGATTGGCAGTGCAAATTTGAGGCCACCTATCAGATTCCTCAAGAGCTGTTCTCATCGCCGATAGTATGCAGAATGAGATTCTAATTCGTGTTCTTAATATCGAAAAGTCGATATTTTTTGAATTCGCGTTGCTGATTGGAGCATTACAATTTTGAGGCCTACAAACAGGGTGGTATAAATACTGAATGGATATTGGTTGAGCGATCTCGCTTCCAACGAGTGCAGACATTCAATGATGATGATTGATTGGCTGTAGCGACATCTTGACCATCATAAGAACCCTCGAATTTCCCACCTTCTTTCCTTCTTTTCTCTTTTCTCTTCACGGCGCAAAAGGCGGCGCTGTCATTCCTCACTCTTTTTTTCCTACATAGTCACTCCTTAGGATTTTCTTTTTTCATTCATCTTCAGCATCTTCCTACTTTTTGCACTACCTTAATCCTGATCCAGGGGCCTCCGCTACGATCAAGGAGGCCCAAAGCGAATAGAACCTATCTTCTCGGAATACACCGCTGGGAAAGAAAACGAACATTATCATTTAAATTGTGGATTTATCAATCCCAGCCTTTTAGACCTCAGGAGATATCCTGTTCCTTCTTCATTCGAATCAAGGATTACTGTTGATGCTCGGGAAGCAGACAGTCAAGTTGATGAGAATGAATGCCCTTCCGCTGAAGATGACAACCATGGAAATTTCGATCCTCTGCCTTACACTACTTACGCCCCTTACACCACTTTGCTAGATCTACCTGCGCTAGACGCAGACTCTCCGCAAGCTCCCCGATATGTCGAAGAACCAGGCGAAGACCAGGTTCAATACGGTCTTTACCAAGCTCAATCAGTCTCCAATCCTTACGTGGAGCAATTCCAACAACATCATCATCATCATCATCATCATCATCATCATCATCATCATCATCCTACCGTTCAGATTTCACCTGAACAGCCACAACCGCAGCCACTTGCTCAGCACCACACTTGCCCAGAATGTCAAAAACAATTCAGACTACCATGTGAGCTAAAGTAAGTGCTATTTATCTTGCAAATCCATATTGCATGGCTTGTTGATGCTGATATTAAACCTCAGTGTTCATCTAAAATCACATACTCTCCCTTTCAAGTGTTGCATATCCTCATGCAAATCACTCGGATTTCGGTATCAGAAAGATCTGAAACGCCACATTGCAGGTATACATCCCAAGCTCAACCCGAATGCGGAAAGATATTTTTGTGATGTGGACAGCTGCAAACGCTCAAGAGCCGAAGGAAAGGGGTTCACGAGGAAGGATAATTGTGAAAGGCACAAGAAGAATTGTAAATATCGGATCCGACAAATGTGACAGGTAAATTTGCTGTGTAATTAGTCAATGGGAGTACTTGAGGTTGTGGTAGAAACAGAAATGTGATTTGTTGATGACAACCGCCAATACATTGCCGCTTAATCATTGTGATTGTAGAATCATGATGGAATTCCTAGAGCCTCCAAACTGAATTGTTCCAAGCCGCTCAAACAAGATCACCGGGCCTTGTCATCTTAACATCAGCCAAAACGCCGAATTACCAAGGATCAGCTCATTTTCCTCGGCTTTGGCTACTTAGCTCATCATAAATCTTCCTTTTTCATCACATCACCAACCATCAAACCATTTGCATTTCCCCTTACCCAGTTGTGAGCTGTGAAATAATTTTGCCTATACACTGAAAGCAAATATACTCCTTCAATAATCGAGGATTTTACGTTGGAAGACACATCCAAACGATGGCCGCCTCAACTTTGGAATCAAACCACAAGCCAGCATACAATATTTCAGGTATGGATTTATTGATAGCACTAGCCATTTGTGTGATGTCAAGAACATCATCGTGATCGTTTCAGTCGGTTGTATCATATTTTGCCGATGTCAAATAGTAAGCCAAATTGAGAACAGGGAAACCTTGTGTACATAATATCCAGAACTCATATAAATAGGGAATCATCATCATCATCATTAGCAATCTTCAGTACCTCTGCCCAGGCTTTTAATTACCACCCCTCAACCAAGCACAAACTCCCAACACAAATACACAAACCATGGCATCCCCACTGACTGTTCCCCAAATACGTCCATATCTTAAGACCATGCCCACATAACTCTTCCAAGGCTCTGGCAAGAAACCCATTACTGTCCCCATCATACCAGCTGGCATAGAGTTCCCCTTCTCCAAATAAAATCTGCTGGTCAACAAGACCACCTCTGACGTTGCAAAGATCCAAAAGAAATGCACACTATCCGCGCTCAATCCATCATTCGCCAAACCCGACGCCTCGCGCGCATATTTAGTCCCCGTAAACGAAGTCGTAAGCGCTATATACAAGCCGAGGGATAATGCGAACACGGCATGAACGATGCGCCATATATATGCATAAGGATCAACAGCAGCGGCTTGAGCTTGCCCTTCCATTCCCATACCGGGCATACCAGGCATACCGGGAAAGGAAGGCATGCCAGCTTGTCCTTCGCCCGGTGGTCCACCCATTCCTCCCATCATCTGTTGTAACATTTGCATCATGGGATCATTTGCGCCGTCTTCACCAGGTGCGCCTCCCATACCTGGGAAACCTGCGAAAGGATTTTGGCCAGGAGCACCGCCAAGAGAACCTGGATCCATACCCAACATCATTTGCCTTAATTGATCATCATTTAGTTGCTGTTGCTGCTGTCCACTCTGAGACCTCTGGATCGGCGTGCGAGTCTGCGGCTCATAATAATGATTCGAAATGTCTACTTCATCCGGATCCGCATGGTTTGTAGCCTTAGGAACCGTTTGCGCTGGCGCTGGCGACGGGACCTCCTCTATAAACTCCATTAGTTTTATTCAAAATATACTTCAAAGAACCATCCAGAATAGCCTCTAAACAGGAAAAGCACAAACCTCTAGGTAAACCACCACCTAACCCAATAATCTTATTCAACCTTGCATTTCCCCCATCCCTAATCTTTGCTTCTCTCTTTTCCTTCCTAATGCGTGCCTGTCTCTGAGATGGCGTTTCTGCCGCTGGCTCAGAAGTATCGGCCATATTCAAAAAATAATTTTGTTGTTGAGAAAATGGGAAGACGATGACTTGGACAGATTTGATGATGTCGTTTATTATTTACGTGGTTGGAAGCTTCCGGAGCTGTGGGTTTTTTTTGGTGGGGGAAAGCTAGAAGGGACCATACATTTACCAGTAGGCACTTATTGCACTAGCTTGCTTTAACGATGATTTGACCTGCAGTTAATTAGAACTTACGAAATCAACATAATTGTGCATTATTGATATAGAATCAACCAAACTGTAAGATATTTCACGATTATTACAATGGGAATCGTTGGTTCATTCACAATCTACAAGAGAAGTTGATTGGTATCATGTTCACCACTTCTAGAACAAGACAGACAGACATCATTTCAAGGATATCCCTCCCAATTTACATCAATACGCAATTACAATCATTGCTATTACTCTTAATTCAAAAAAAAAGCAGTATTATAAAGAATAAGTTCTTACTCTAGCAATATTTCTTTACTATACACACATGCTCCGCTCTCATCTTAATCGTCATTCCTTCGTTCCGGATTTTAGTTCTCCAAATGAAATAAAGTTATTCGCTTCGACTCTAAGGAGTGACTTTGCTCATGCTAACCAATCGTTTGACACCGACCTGTATTCATCATTAGCATATGTTACGTTCAAACCCCAAAAAGAAAACTATAACACTTACCATCCAATTACCACACTCATCAGGCTTTTCACGATGAATGTCGACTTGCATCCTGCTTGCTGTTTCGTAGTCACCAGATTGAAGTGCTTCCGCCAACTGGGTCAATTTCTCGATAGTGTCAGGTTTCACAAGTTCCTCATTATTCAGGTGATCAAACAAAATGTTGAGGCGCTTTTGAGTGTCTTTCACTTGAGGAGCAAAATTTGCTGGAGCTTTCGAGGCTACTCTTTGCATGTCACTCGTGAAGATTTCGACCATTCTCTGAGCAGATTCAGGAATATGTAATCTATCACCAGCAGGATGCTTGGGTTTTGCTGGAGCAGCTGCAACGGCAGGAGCTCTAGGAGGCCCAGTTGGTGGTCGAGAACCGCCCATTGGAGGACCTTGAGGAGGACCTTGCGGTGGCCCTTGTTGAGTCTGAGGAGGACCTTGAGGCGGACCTTGGTTTTGAAACTGTGCAGGTGGAGGCTGGCTTTCATATGGTGATTGAGATGGCGCGTACTGGCTAGGTGGTGCAGCTGACGGTGGCGCATATGGGTTAGATGGAGGTGGTCTCATGCCTCCCTGAGGAGGTGGAGCGATATTTGATGGAGGCGGCTGCGAGTATTGTTGTGCTGCTGGAGACGGAGCGTATCTGCTTGTTGGTGCAGCCCCGGTAGGTGGGGGATTATATGGAGAAGCTCCACGAGGAATTGTAGGTGGTGGTATTGATGCATATGGCGATTGAGTAGGGGGTGCTTGAGGAGTATATGCATTGGCCGTGGATGATGGTCTGGGAGGTGGTGCAGTCGTCAATGGTGAACTAATACGGGGTGGGGCTGACCCCTTAGGTGGAGGAGGTGGGGGGGTTGCCCTGGAAGCACCATATGGGTTTGCTGGAGGTGGCATTGAAGCACTTTGTTGATTTGGGAATGGATTTGCGACCGGGGTACTTCTTCTAGCAGTAGGAACCTTTGTTACGAAAGGTGTGTCATTCCAGTTTGTCATGTCTTTAGCTTTAGATGCAGGTGGAGCCGATGGAGTTGTGTTTCTCGGAGGAGGGGCTCCAAATGATTGTTGAGGTGCTCCATAACCTGAGGGAGCTGCTCCATATGCTCCGTACGAAGGTGCATACGCAGGCTGAGATGGTTGTGGTGGCTGGTAACCTTGTGGTGCGTAAGCGCTTGCTGCAGGTGCATATGGATTAGAAGCACCTGAAGTGGGTGGAGCATAAGGATTAGAAGCTGGAGCAGTAGCGGCCGGTGGAGCATATGGACTTGGAGCAGATTGAACTGGGGGTGCCACAGCAGCAGGAATTGGCTGTTGATATGCGGCTGGCTGAGCACGTGCTGGGACTCTTGACGAGACTGCTGGCTGTCTTGCGGTAGTGGTAGGGGCAACCTTTCTTGATGCACGCTTGACTCGGTCTCGTGCAACCTCTGCAGCAGGGTACTGAGCTGGAAGAAGATCAAGATATCTTTCAGCAATTGAGAGATGTCCGTGAGCAGCAACAATGTCCGCATACTCTGTATACTTGTCGTACAAAGCTGCCAATTTCCAATCTGATGTCAAACTCTGCTCGGGATCTTGAAATTTGGTGACATTGCGGAATACTGTAACCTTTTCAATAAAGTTTTGGAGTGATTTTGCATGTACGGAGAACGTAGAATCGCCTTCTTGTTCTTCAATGTCATGCTTCTCGTTCTCTTGAAGTTCGGAAATCCAGATGTTGATGACCTTCTCCAACTTTGAACCAACTAAGAAACAGAATGAAGCATCCTTTGAGGTGCCAGATTCCAAAAGCCTATCACCAAGTGCCTCACATAGGTCTGGGAATTGAGCTGGGTCGGCATATGTGCATAAAGTTGCCATCGACTCTTTCCAGTTTTCCAGGTCAGCATTGTATACGACATCCCACAAGTTTTTGCCAATGACTGAGCTAAGGAGTCGCAGATAGTTGGGACCTTCTGCCTTTTTGGCCAAGTAGGCAGTTTGAACTTTGTCTAACAACTCCTTACCACCACAATTGGCAATGATGAATGCATCAGCAATGCGATCCTCCTTAAGACAGACAGTCATAGCTTTTTCAAACTGGCCAAGCATCAAAGCTTTGGTAATTTGTTTTTCCGAGGCCGAATCGGATTCAGCAAATAGATGGAAAGGATTATCCGTCTTGGCTCCCTTATTTGCTGGGATATCCGTCAAAAAGTCATCACCTTCGGCGCCATCAAAAAGTGTAGATAATCTATTGTTCTTTCCTGCTTCTCCATTGGCATCAGCTGGCGCTTCTTCTGAATTTTCAGCATCCTCTACATCAAGTCCTGATACACCATTCGTAATCTCGTCTACATCAGAGAATCCAAGGTATTCAGTGACTTGCTTTCGAGGGTTGGCTGCAATCAATGTCTCAATTACTTTCCAGTCTGCCTTCTCTTCCTCAGTCTTGGCCTGATCAATATGTGTTTCGCAAATGCTCTTAATATCTCCGGCCTTGAGGGCATTTTCGAAAGACTCAGTAGCAGATCCAACGTCTGAATCAACTGTAAATTGGGAAATTTGGACCTTGGAGGATCTAGGCTTTCCTGCTGCACTTGGTAACAAATTAAAGCTCACTAATTTGCCACCAAATCCGAAAGAAGCTCCAACCGGTCGTTCAAGCCACTTAGGAGCTTTGTTCAATGAGAATGAAGCCCCCTGAGGCTCGGTTTGGGCCTTGGTGAAAAAGTCCTCGCCATCAATTGGGCCTGCAACGGGGGCTTGGGATGCGGTAGGGTTCGTATTTTGTAAGGTCTGGATAGCTATCTTTCCATCAAAGGACGCAGTGGCAGATAATGCGGGGTTGTGTGGATTGAATCTAGTCTGGAAGGTCCAATTGGTGACTTCAGGGAATTCTCCATATTGTTCTCCAGTTTGGGGGTTCCAGATTAAAGTTCTGTTATCTTTACCACAAGATATAAGAAGATCGGCATCTTGCTGACACCAGGACAATGACAAAATCCCCTGGATATGTCCTTGTAAAGTACGCTCAGGCGCATTTGAGTTTCTGAGATCCCACAAAAGGATGACCGGTGTAGAATCGTCGGGTGTAGCAGTCAAAAGCTTTGTCGCATTATTTGGATCCCATGCAATCGCTCCTACTGCTTTTCGGTTGTTGCTCAATTGTAGAGAAGCCTTCTTTGTCTTCAAATCCCAGACGGTAACATATCCTCCACTTCCACCAGTTGCCAAAATATGGGGAACTTTTCTATTCCATGCAACGCATTCGAGGTCATCGGATCGTGCGGCAGCTGTGCCTAATCTAAATGGATTGGCGATATCGTTTACGTCGTAGATGAACAGCTCACCCTTAGAGCCAGCAGTGGCTAGAATTTGAGGCTTCAATGGGTTAAACTGAAGAGACTTGATAGCGCCCGTATGTTTCGTCGTCCTAGACATGAAAGCATCTTCAGCTCCTTGTATAAGTTTCTCTGCATCCCATAAATCCAACGATCCATTCTCGAGTGCGCCTGCGATTATGCCCCGCGGATGGTCTGCGTTTGCTGGTGCCCATGCAATGTCATGAAATCTAATGGAACAGTTAGCCTTTCTAAAATCCCTAAACTCGATACAAAAAATCCATCCGCATACCTGGAGTCTGTGCTAATGCTAGCAATGGGTTGCAGCTCTACACCTTGCTCGTCGTTATCCAAGCTTAAATCCCAAAGCTCCAGCTTCGTCTCATCAGAGAAATCCGCATCAACAGCCCCAGCTCTGGTACCGGTGACAACCAAAGGAGTCTCTGGACCTGGGGACCAGGCGAAGGCCGCAGTTCTGGGAATTTCCCTTAGACGGACCATTGTCTCGTCTCTATTTGTAGAATTAACAAGCCAGATTACACTGCGGAAAGTTTGCCGCGGTGTGCCTTTTCAGCCGATTTTGTTGCTACACCGGTAGATACAAATTGAGAAGACCCTAAGATTTTAAATTGTATGAGACGTGTAAAGACAGCAAAAGTTGCGATCTGTTGAATTGTTTATAGGGAGTAGTAGCACTGTGAACACCTTTCCCCATAATCGGATGGTCATAGCGAGGGATCCCGCTCGTAGGATTGTGAATCTTAAAAAAACAGCTGACACGTGATTAAAGGCTCCTTCTTTCGCGATTTGTTGGATAGCATTTGAGCAATTTGAAAGTGACAAATACACCAGAGATTCGTTTAAAATAAATCTAGTCTCATATTTCCCATAGTCTACAAGATGACCGACCAAGCACGTTGGAAAGCTACTGTGTATGTTGGTGGTCTCTCCCACATGGTTACCACCGCAAATCTCGAAGCCGCATTTTTACCCTTTGGAGAAATAGCAGATGTCTCTATACCGTAAGTCCTCCGTGCTAGATTGTGATGTCCTCATGTTAAAAATCTTCTAGTAAAGCAGATGGGCCCAACTCAACAGAGCCACATCGAGGTTTTGGATATGTAGAGTTTGAGGATCCAGAAGATACCAAAGATGCCATCGACAATATGGATCAATCTGAACTATTTGGGAAGGTGATTAAGGTCAATGCGGCTAAACCTCCAAAGAATGCGAATGAGGGATTGGGAAGCAAGACAGCTTTGTGGGAGCAGGTAAGACTTCATGGAATCCTGCTGTGTGATGGTAGGGGGCGGCTTGGGTGGTCACTAATTTTGTGATATAGGAGGGCTGGCTAGCAGAGAATGCTGTGAGTGAGGAGGATAAACTGGCAGCCGAACAAGCAAGAGCCGGAGTTCAGGACAGACCTGACGATCCTATGCAAGGTCTAGAGGGATTGGATGTAGCTGGGCCTAAGCCGGCTTGAAGAAGGGCTATGTCATGTTCGTAGGTTACAGGTCATGAAATGTGTTACTAAGGAGTTTTTGGGAGTAAAGCAAAAGGAGTTTAAGTGGCAGGAAGAAATTTCCACATGCTCTTCAATGTATAGGTTGGAGTTGGACAATGAAAAGCATGAGATATCAGGTATGGAGACTATGTATTCATGAGAAATAAGGGCCAATTCTGTACAACTCATTCGAGGTTTGGCCGATGCATCCGTTCTAATTCCTCCATTCCATTCTTGCCTCCAGCGTGTTCCACTCAGTATCGCTTTCGATGCATGAACTTTTCCCCGACAATCAGTCTGTTTCCAACCCTCCGAAACTTTGTAGGTGAATAGTTTATTCCTTTGTTCTGTTTTGTCTGGAGAGACGCATTTGCTTATCAACAACAAGTTTGCGACCCAAAGAGTAGAAAGCAAATCCGACAGCGACACCGACGACGATTCCTTCAGATTGATATCAGTGTAAATTCTGGCCCTATTCTGGCGAAGATGTAAACGTACCCAAAGGAACCAACTCGGGAGGAATCTTCTTCCATTGGCGCAATCGTTGCGAGATAGTGTGGGCTGTCGACCTTGGTGTCAGTCTCGATTCTCATCTACTAAAATCATGTCTCCCAATCCAAAATCTGTTCTTCCCCTCCAGCTCTCTAACCATCCAATCATGGGGTAAACGTACCGCTATGCTCCTCCTTCTGTAAAGCCACAAAACATTAGCCCTCCCACCCTCAAAACCGCAAAATCGCAAATCAACAACAAAAAAACTTACGGGCACAGGCGACCACATCTTCTTGGTCGGTTGGAACATTCTAGTAACGGTAGTAGGATGCATCTTGAACCGTTGTTCAATCTTCAAGTCTTTCTGATTAGAGTTACACTCAACTTCCGTGGTCTGAGGTTTTGGAGGACCTGCATTTCCGCGCTAGCGAGCTCGGCCTTAGCCGACTTCATCCCGAAGAGAGAAAGTGCAGGCCCATTCCAATCAACCTCACATCATTCGTCTCAATTGAACCACCACCACCACCACCATATCCCCTCCAAATTCTGTAATCGCCAGAAAATAGATACGCAAAGATGTCTGAAGAACGCGAGACCAAGCCCTTCAAGTTCGTTACTGGTATGTGCCACCCGGGGACCCGCCCACTGTTTGGATATCTAAAAATGATCTGATCTGATTGCTAACTGGATTTCTAAATAGCTGGTATGCAATTACTGTTCCGGCGGGGTCTGCGAAATGATGAGGAGACTGATTTTAGGATATAGGATTCGACGCTCGATTCCCCAACCAGAACCAAACCAAACACTGCTGGCAAAACTATGTCGATTATCACAAGTGTATCCTAGCCAAGGGCGAGGATTTCGCACCATGCCGTCAAGTACGTTCCTGCGATCGATCGAGAGGGGAGAATATACTGATAGAGGGGAATAGTTCTTCTTGGCCTACAAGTCATTGTGCCCAAGTGCCTGGGTTGAGAGATGGGATGACCAACGTGGTTAGTAGTGGAACTTAAAAGGGACCGGAAGGCAAGGTTTGGCTAACGTGGAATATTGCAGATAACGGAACATTCCCCACTCGATTGGATCAGTAAGGTATTTGGAGGTTCTAGAGGGTTGCATGGTGGGATAGAGCAGAGGACCTTTACAATGGATATGTATCATACAGAGTCATTATGCGAATTGATGAGAAACGAGCCGGTTTTAATGGACGTGCTTGATTCAAATTTGGTAGATATGTTGATATCTATGAGTTATGCATTTTCAAAGTACATTCAGGCTTCCTGAAAAGCTCTCAGTCGGTCATATCTCAACATCGCTCCAAGCAAGACTTGTGCACCATTCCCACAGTCTTCTGGACTACAATACTCGGCTGGATTATGACTGACGCCGTCTTTACAAGGCACAAAGATCCTACTTATGATTAGTGATATTATGGTATTGGTGAAAAGGAAGAGGATTACATTGAGGTTGGAGCATGTCTCGAAGTATAAACACTAGGTTGTGTTTAGCGTGGTCCTCATCGTCAGATTTTCATTCTTACCTATCATGTCCAGCGCCTGATACCATTCTCCTATAGCTTTCGGAGACGGCTTCTGTTTGATCTCCGACACAAAAATCTGTTCCAGCCAAATCTCCAGCACTCTCTTCTACGCATCGAATACAATCTTTGTTGAAATGAGTAGCCGGAGAATCTGCATCCATTTTCCATTCCACCAAACAACCTTTACCTCTTTTCCCACTAGCCCCAAGAGTTGGCATCTGCTCTCCAGCAGCAATCAACTCAAAATCTCTTTTTAGTTCTTTCTCACAGTCCAGAAGCTTTTGATCCTCCGGAGACCTGATATCAAGTGAAAATTGTACGAATCCCGGAACAGTATTAGTAGAGCCAGGCTTGAGAGTGAGAATACCTAGCATAGGTAAGCAAAGTACCGCAGTTTGTCTTGGGGAAAGGTTTCATTACCTGTGGATGCTAGACAATCCATTTCAGCTGCCTTGTTGTGGCTATGAAGAATAATTTTTGCAGCTGTAAGCATAGCATCTGAACGATTCTCGAAATCCGTTGTACCTATAAACCATTCTCAATTCATCATCCGTCCCACAATCACATCTCTTCAATTACAGACACGTCTCCTTAGCATAACATACCAGTATGACAATGTCTTCCCCTCACTGTAACAGTATACCACCTATAGGCCTGCACGCCCGTCACAGCTCCAATTTTCGTTTTACTCTTCTCGAGAATTGGTCCTTGTTCAATATGTAGCTCGAAATGTGCACCAATTGGATTATCAAGATATGAAGTGGGAGCTGCACCGAGATATCCTATTCTTTTTAGTTCTGATTTCATGGTAGCTGGCCCATTTACTTCGCACAAATCATGAGCCTCTGAGAGGGGAATGTCGTGAGCCCACACGCCGGAGGATATCATGGATTTGGGGAAGCGTGCTCCTTCTTCTGTCGTAGGAATTAGAGAGAAGCTTAGAGAGGGTTGTTTGGGTGATGCAGATGTGTACCGTTTGTCCACTGTATCCATCAAGTTAGTCTGTCATTGTATTTAGCCGCGGAATCCAAGTGCAACAAACATTGATAACTCCCGTGGGATACTCTGTTTCAATACCCAAATCATTCATTGTTCTCAACGCTTCAATACCTGCGTGAACACCCAATATTCCATCGTATCTTCCTCCCGTCGGCTTTAACTCATTAGTCAATCGTCATACAATGTTTCTTCATATATAGGCTAGCATTCTGGAAGTACGTACCTGTGTATCCAAATGACTCCCGGCATAGGTAGCTGGTCCATCCTTTCTTCCGGGCCGGATTGCAAAAATGTTACCTTTGTCGATCACTCATTATCACATGCGCTTTCGAGGATCTTGTATGGCGATGTTACACGTGATAGGAGTGGAAAGAAGTAGGATAAGTGTGGGAAGATGGAAAGTAGAATATAGAAACAGAATGGAAGCTCACCCATAGTGTCAATCTTCACATCACAACCGAGATGTTTAGTTGTGTCGACGAACCAATCTCGTGCTTGTTTGTCGGCGGAAGAGAGCGCAAGTCGGGACATTCCTCGATCGGTTTCCCCTCTGGATTGCTATCAGAATTCTGTGCATACCATGCAACATGATGCAGATTGAAAAAAATTAAAAGATACTATATACAAATGATCACAGATATTGATCCTGTAGTAAAACCATGTATGTGATCTGCCCCATATGATAATCGCATGACCTATATATAACTACACTAAACAGATTGGAGCCCATGATAAGGATAGCAAGGAAGCAGGCTGCATTGAGCAACATCTAAACATATCCAATATGCAGATTGCATCCCTTCCAGACCCAAAGACTTTTGGCAACTTTCCAATGTCATTTCTCTCCCACAAATTTCATCCTTACTTCCACCTGGTCTTCTTCCCCCCCCTATAATGAAATCCAAAGCTCAAACTCAATGAAAAATAGCCAGACATACGTTCCCCATTTCTCCCCCCGTCCCCATTGACACGTATAGTGCAACTCTTTCCACAATCTCTCTCTATCAACCTTCCGCGTGATCTCCCTAATCTTTCCATCTGATAAATCCCCTGTTTTCAACGAGCCCCGGGAAAAGTTTCTAATCCAATTGAAGTTTCCAAGGCTCGGGGTCGTTCTCAAGGAATTGGTTTTGATAAGAGTTCTTGAATATAATCTTGACATTTTTAAGAAATACAGGAATTCAATTGAAATGCATTGGTTGAAATGGAAGTCAAGATTGTATTTATTAATTTATGATGTATTCTTATTTTATTGCGTGTAATGCTTATCTGAGGGGAAGCTGTCCTTGAGCAGGTAGTTATCAATTACCCCACAACCACGCATCTGCTACTGCATATGTAGGTACTCGTATGCATTATCAGGACCATACTTACAGGATAGGTAGATAGCACAACATTTGTATCAACCTACTCAAAATATTATTTCATGCTACTCATCGAAAGAAGGATAAAGAATATCTATATTCTCACGAACAAGCCATGATTTCATAATCATCCAACTCCCTATGCGCATCACTATCTAAGCGGATCACGAGTGTGTTCCATTCACATTCTATCTATGTCCTTGTGTTTCAGAAAAGTATTTGGTCCTGGTAGAGTCGAATCTCAGTGAATGTCCAAGAGGGAGAGGGGGAATGAACAAAGGTGAAAAGAGAAGTAAAGGAGTGCACGAAGGAGATGAAGTAGCCTGTACATATTCACAATTAATCTCAGTATCAGTAGGTTAAAGATTAGTTATAGTTCATTTGTAGTGATCACTATTTAAGCAGTCTGTGAATATCCCGCTAGCAATCATAGCCCCAAACGCCGCGCTGTAATATCAATGCATATGAAGTTCGAATCATTTAGCTTTTCCCTTGCCTTTTCCTTTTCCTTTTGCGGGAGATTTTGCAGGCGCCTTTGCAGGTGCCTTTGCTTGTGATTTAACGGGTATCCTTGATCGAGCTTTGCCTTTTGTTTGAGCCGGGGCAGGGGGTGGGGTTGGTTCTTTGGCAACTTCCTCAACTTCAACCTCCTCCTCCTCCTCCTCCTCCTCCTCCTCCTCCTCCTCCTCCTCCTCCTCTTCTTCTGCTTCTGCTTTTGCTTCCTCTTCCTCAACTTCCTCAGGTACCTCAGGCTTCTTGGCTTCGACTACATCGTCTTCATCTTCCCCTTCCTCTTCCTCGTCGTCATCACTCATAAACTCATCATCCTCGTCAAAGCCGAAGAAATTCATAGCCTTCGGCTTACCGGGTGTAGACTCAGATGGTGGAATTGTATCGTTGGAGTCTGTACCACCCATAACCTCATCTTCTTCACTTGCGGAGCCATCGGTTCCCGAACCACTACCTGAAGATGTTGCTAACAAATTATCCTTGTAGTTCCCAGCTTTCATAGCCGCAAGAACAGCCTCACGCGTTCTCTCTCCAGCTTCCTCCTTATCCTCAACCCATTTACCATCCACCTTTCCTTTGGTACCATTCTTAATTTCCTGCTCTCTTCGCTCGGCCAATTCCACAACTTGCTCCCATCGTTTCCTTCTCTCTTCCTTATCTTTCTTTGCCATTTCCGGTTTGATTGCTAGATATTCAGCCAATGCCTTCGCTTCGTTGACTGTTCTTAATCTGCGACCATCCAAATTTCGGCTTGATCCATTCTGGTCACCTTGTCCCTTCTTACGTTTCGAGGACATGCGACCTCCAGCTGCACGAAGTTGAGATCCAAAACCTCCTTTGCCACCACATAATCGCGCTGAGAGTCGTAAAGACAGGAATTCATCATCCGGGTTTGATAGTAAATCTGATATCGGAGAAGTCGATTCGGCGGAGAGTAATTTATTCGAGATGGTTGTGAGGATAAGGCGACGATCTTGAGATGGAATGCGCTCGTAAAGTTTGTCTTGAAGCTCTGATATGGTGGTGGTTGTAGGCAGAGGTAGGGATAGAGTCGAAGGTAGATTCAAGCCCGGAAATGAAGTCAACAAAACGTTGACGGTTTGAGATTGTGATACCATATTGTCGGTACTTTTGTTATCGGGATTATTTTAATAGAATTCAAACTATCATCGCGCTTTGCGATGGATTTGGTGGGTTTCGATAAGTTCGAAATCAACGTCCAAAGGGTAGAAGTTCCTGAGCCGAAGAACAGCCGAGTTACTGAGTCGGTTTATTAAATATCACGTGCACAGATCCTGGACCTTGCAAAGCGGTCAGCCCACATCTTCGCTTGCTAGCGCTTGAACCACACAATTCAGAATATTCGAATTTTGAATTGCTTCGATATTTCTTACACCTCTCGACATCGACAAACCTTCAAGCAACTCGACAAACCGCCAAGATGTAAGATATTAACAATTGTCTTGATGTTATTATCTCAAAATGCAAAAAGACTAATAAATTTATTTACAGGCTTATCCCAAAGGCCGACCGCAAGTTGATTCACGAGTACTTGTTCCGTGAGGGCGTACTTGTCGCAAAGAAGGAGTACGAAAACAAGCACCCAGAAATCGACACCCGTAACCTTTACGTTGTCAAGGCTTGTCAATCTTTGACCTCCCGTGGATACGTCAAGACTCAATTCTCTTGGCAATACTACTACTACACCCTCACCCCAGAGGGTCTCGACTACCTCCGCGAATGGCTCCATCTCCCCGCTGAGATTGTTCCATCTACCCACATCAAGGTCCAAAGATCCCACGCTCCTCCTCGTGGAATGATGGGAGGTGACGATCGCAAGCCTTTCGGTGGCCGCGGTGGACGTGGTGGTGGAGAGCGTGGTGACCGTAGTGATTACCGCAGACGTGAGGGTGGTGAGGGCAAAGAAGGTGCCGCACCAGGAGAGTTCAAGCCTACATTGTAAGTTTCACGCATCTATCATATTTGGTTGATCAATCCTAACACTTTCTTTCACAGCCGTGGTGGTGCTGGACGTGGAGGCGGAGCTGCTCCACCTTCGTAGATTTATTCTACTATTTCTTTACGCTTGCTCAATGCATCCGACAGGAATTCCTCATAAACACTTGTATGGTTGGACGACTGGACAGTAGCGCGTTAGGTCGAGTGAAAGTAATCGCCGGGGGAGCATAGGTCGAAGGTGGAAGTTGACACTTCAAAACTGTCAGGTAGCATAATGAGCTTCTTCCAATACCCCTTCAATTTATTATGACGTGAAAACACGATACTCCTTCACACTTCCTGCGACTCATTCTCTGCTTTTCTTTTCATGACTGTTTGAATTTTTTGACGTCTCGCATGATATTGATAATTTGGTGAAGTAACATCGTGTTCCTATGAACTGCTTTGGATAATAATGCACACGTTAAATTTTTACCTAATGATCCCGAAAGAAACACAACGGCCCGGACACATTATATGTCACATATCACTCGGGTCTTTAGGCCATGGAAGATGGAAGGGTTAAGGGAAATCAAAGACTCAAAATTCGAGACTCAAGACTTCATATGGAAGCTCAAAACTCATCCATATGTGGTCAGACCAGATCATGCTCGTTCATGTAATTATTTGAAAAAGTGTTTCGTTGTTCATACAGATGGAAGGTCGGCTTATGAAGTACTAGAAACCGAAAAAAAAGCAACCCCACCAATATCCCCGCGACCTTTTCCGATTTTTGACCCACCTAGAGCCATAATCTGTAGTTAATATCGTCATCGTACTTCTGCTCGGTCTTACTCTTTATTCTGATGTCCATTTCTGACCATGATATATTCGGAATTTGTATGTTGATATCGATCTTCTGGTGTTCCGTCGATGAGTGAAAGAGTTTTGTAGTGGAGATGGGCTAGAATGTCAAACAGTCCAAATCCATAAAAATATCGACGATGTATCATGTATGTAAAAATCTTGGTGACTTGTGAGAAACGTGGGGTTGTACGATTATTTTTGATCCTCACATCCTATTGCCTTTCGTGGCGTTTAGATGGCTTGGGAAAGCTTGAGGAATGGATGTCCGATTGGTGCTTGACGCCTTGGTAACGCGCTTTTCCTTGTCGGATTTTGCAGAGGAGGTGTGGGTGAGTAGAATCTGGAGGAAGTATATTGTTTTTCTGTTGACGTTGTGCGGTGTATATTTTTATGTTTGATGCTTCTCGATCATTCTCCGAATCCTCAAGAACCGAGGAGAGCCAAACGTATCTTGCATTCTGCTGAGTGCCTTTCGATGATTGATATTAGACCTCATCGTAGCTTCCCATGCCTCATGAATCAGCAATAAAAACAAGTCAGTCATAACGCCGTCTAGTCCGAACTCATCATATCGTAGCTACCTAGCATTATTAGGTACATATGGCTTGCACAGTGTGCACTTCAACTCGCACCAACTCATACCTTAAACTTTGTTATGGAGCCAATTGCAAGGAACCGTTCCCACGAACCGCTCAGCTAGTCATTCCATGATCCAAGTAAGATTGATGGAAACATTTCCAGATGATTCAATGGCGGGGCATCCAACAACAACAACAACAGGATCATAATCATCTCATGCTAGGTACCCCACCCCACCATGACAAGGGGGTTGGCTGTCCCTCCCTCTTTCCATATCTTGCGTAGCTTCATTACTATAAGAAAGCCAATCTTCTTCTCTCTCGTCTTGCTTTTCTTCCTTACACCATTTGAAAAATAATACCCTCAATAACGTACCTTCAGAAGATTTCCTACTTTAACTCTTTAATTGTTTAACATTCTTCAAGAGAATCAAAAGATCATACCAGCCAATATGTCTCTCCCAACTTCCATGAAAGCTTTGAGGTATGTATACTGTTCTTGTTTTGGTGAGGGGTTTTGGGATAGCATCGTGTTGGAAGTAGCAGTGTATCCAGCAGATGTTTGATGAATTCAAAATGTTTGTACGGCTGATATCGATTGAATGATTCAAACCATTCGATGATTGAAGCTGTTTGACAGATTGAGATCTTTCGAGAAATCGAGAGCGTTTGATACACTAGAATCAAAACATTTCTATCCCTCCACCACTTGGGAAGGCACATATCTATCGAGACATGGAAGGTAACTCGAACGATAATAGATACTCCAAGCCAGAAGAATACGGAATCGTTGACGTTCCTCTCCCAAAGCTCCGTGACAACGATGTCTTGGTAAAGGTCAAGGCCTGTGGTGTTTGCGGAACCGATTTGCACATCCACGAGGGAGAATTCATTGCAAAGGTAAGAGAGAGAGAGACTTCCCTTTTATATGTGTAAATTAGAAGGGGGTGATGTGATATCTTCCCCACCATGACGTTTTATCTATTAAAACGAGTATGCGGGTTGAGAATATACACCTGGATGGGTACCTACACTTAGGTACCTTGAGAGGTTTACGTGCTCTAAGCTAAACATATTGGGACGAGTCTATACATTTTATAAGAACCAAAAGCTAACGTGACGTTATTTGTAGTTCCCTCTTATTCCTGGTATGCTATGCCTTCCTTCCTTTCTTCATCGACTCCTTGTTTCGAAAACTCGATTTTCTTTGGCTGGTGAAGACAGTTGCATATCTTGGCGAGTGTAGTGACAGATAACATAGTTGGTTGGAGATGGGAACACAAACTTTCCCTCCAGTCATCCTCTAGTGGAGGATCGGTCATCTGCAGACTAGTTCTCAGTCAGGATACAACCAACACGAACATATCGAAAGAATTTCCACTTTGGTCCCTACCTCATAATGTTACATTCCATGAAAGCTTTGATCAAGCAACTAACATTGGAATCTCACAGGACATGAAACTGTCGGTGTTATCGCCGCCACTGGACCTAAGGTCAAGGGCTTCAATGTTGGTGACAGAGTTGTAGCTGAGTGAATACTATTCAATCATACATGTGTGTTCAACTTACTAATCTATCTACAGTAACTCCGAACTCTGCGAGGAGTGCTTCTACTGCCGTCGTGGTCAACTCTTGTTGTGCGAGAACTTCAACGCTCATGGTGTTACTATGGGTAAGCTAAACACAAGTTCCAATTAAATTTCACTGCTAATTCAATTTAGATGGTGGTTTCGCAGAGTACTGCGCATACCCAGCCGCAAAGGTTTTCAAGATCGAGAACCTCTCAGATGTTGATGCCACCCTCCTCGAGCCAGCCTCATGTGCTGCTCACGGTCTTGAGAAGATTGCACCAAAGATGGGCTCATCCGTTCTCATGTTCGGTGCTGGACCAACTGGTCTCGTTCTCGCTCAATTGCTTAGACAAAATGGTGGATGCAAGGTTGTCCTCGCCGCTCCAGGTGGTCTTAAGATGGACCTTGCAAAGAAGCTCGATGCTGCTGATATCTACATCGAACTTTCCCGTGATAACCCAGAAGCTCAATTCCAACAAATCAAGGATGAGTACAAATACGGTTTCGACATCGTTGTTGAAGCTACCGGAAGCGCTAAGATTCTCGAGGATGCTATCAACTACGTTCGTCGTGGAGGTAAGCTCGTAGTCTATGGTGTCTACAGCAGCTCTGCTAGAGTTACCTGGCCACCATCCAAGATCTTCGGTGATGAGATTACCATTCTTGGTTCCTTCTCCGAGACTTACATGTTCCGTAAGTATTACTTCCTCTTATGTACACTACCTACGTTGCTAACAATACATAGCTGCCGCCATCGATTATCTCGACTCAGGCAAGGTCAAGGTTGAGGGTATTGTTAACAAGACCTTCAAGCTTGAACAATGGGGTGAAGCTTTGGAGTCTATCAAGAACAAGAGTGCTATTAAGGCAGCTATTGTTTTCGATTAGATTATGTTGGTGTGTAAAAATGGGAGTCAAAAAATGACATGATGTGATGTTTTGCTCAGTATTGAGAGATATTATACCTTTAAAGCGAGCCATTAGAGCTAGATTTATGATTCAATGAAAAATAATTTACTGTATGGATGCTTTTTATGACTTGTGTGAATTTGCTATGTGTATTGAGGCTATCTATTTTGATTGATTTTGTATCATGAAGGGTCTGCATGCGAGCACCCTAGTGAAATGATTGTCCAGGTTCAACAATTGATCTATTTGTCGATTCTATCTATTGAGTTGCATATCCAGCATGCACAAATTATTCATTTCGCTGATCACCATTCTCAATCTCAATCATCCTCCTCCTCCCCGTCATCATCGGCTCACTGATCTAAGGAACTTTTCAGGTGTGCCATTCTCAAGTCATCACTCTATCAAAATAGACCCAAAATACCCCCCCCCCCAAAACAAAAAAAAAACGCTAGGCTTCATGATTGTATGTTTTATATATCTAGTCGCCCATGCATACATCTTCACATTGAAATTGAATTGAACGGGCTCTTTGGAAGTTGGAAAGTGATAGTGGCGATGATGAGTTATACCGATGTTTTTTTTTTGGATTAGATGTAGATTTGTTAAACATCTGAAGACCTGGATTTTGGTTGGATATTTTGGGATGTTTTTGGGGTGTTGTGAGAGGATGGAAAGATGAGGGATGAAGGATAGAAAGAAGGCATGGATGGGGAGGTTTAAGGTAAATGGAATGAGGGGAGGAATTTGAAGCGATTTGTTAATCCGAGGGGGGAGGGGGGGTAAAATTGATGTTGTGCTCGATTGGTTATGTGCACGATCATTTGAGAAGATTGACAAAGGACTTTACATCTTTCTAATACTTCTCATATTCACGAGTCTAGAACACACTTATTTTGTAAGTAAAAACTTATTAACCTATCATTAAACGCTGTTATTCTATGCTATGTTCCGCTATCAAAACAAATCCCGAACCCTAAACCCTAAACCGCTGAATCACCACTCAGACCCGTTCCCGCCCTAGATTCCTTTTGAAGCATCGATCTCGTCGTCGGCGCCGAGCCCAAACTACCCATTCCCGCAATCTTCTCCTTGACAGAATATTGGTCCATCGAAGATCTCCCGATCGACGTCGTCGACTTCGCAAATGTAAAGAAGCCCTGTCGCAATCCCAATTTGCGGTCACGTTCAGCCGCTTCCTCGTCAAGCTGTTCGAACAATCCAAAGTATCGCTTCGTCGCCTTCCACGCTTCGATGCCGAGGACGAATACGAAAACGGCACCGAATGCTAATGACCATTCCCATGTAATATCCACATGTTTGAAGACTGAAGTATTTAAACCCGGAATGTAGACTGCGGGAAAGACAGACAAAGCACCGATGACCACAGCCCAGAACAAGAATTGATTCTCATACACGTCTTTGAAAAATGGGAATGAGCTTTCGGAAGTGGCGTCCAGACGAAACATGCTGCGACGGAT